ATCGTCTGTTCGCTACGTGAATCTACGTCGCCTTTAGAATTGGTAGGCGACTTTCTGGAGCCGGCCAAGGCGCCTTGTTTCTTAGACAAGGCTTTGTTTATGCCCTACCGAGCTTTTCCACATACTGTCTCTCTCTCTCTCCAAGGCCAGAGAAAGTATCCTTAGATGAGAGGTATGTTAGCACATCTGGCAATTCTCGGCAGGGCCGAGGCTTTGTAGGAATTGACCTGACTGACGCCTCTGCGCCAGAACAATTATTTTAGAACGAACAAATGCTCCGACGACATCGCGACGATACAAAGACGAAACGGAAGAACTTAAGAAAAAATAAAAAGAATAGAGAAGAAAATTTAAAAGAAAAAGAGAAAGTTCAATAAAAAAAAGGAAGGAAAAGATACCAGCAATAATCCACAAATTGCAAAAGGCGAATCTCTATCCGTATCTGTCGTTCGCATAATTGAACGTGAGCGTCACAATGGTCCGAGACAATGGTGCGAGAGCAACGGGAAGACACAGTGGACGATCGACAAATCCCAAAAGCAAACGCTCTGTTCGTTTCGTGGAAGGAGGGGGTGAGGGAATGGGTGAAGAGAGGAGGGGTTTGGGACACTGGTTTGATCGTTGATAATGCCGCGAGCGATATTTTGCTTTCTATGCTATCCAATCGGAATTACAGCTTCCGCCGGGTCCCGTTCGATTCGCTCGGTAAGCCTCATCATATTGCTATTCAGCCGCTGCTCCGACAACAGACGCGGAATCCCTTTGTTTGTCATAGCAGGCGTTGTTTACCAAAATCATTAAACCCGGTACCGGATTGAATCCTTGATCGAACAACGCCGAGGGTGAGCGTTAATCAAGTTGAACGGCCGGTGGAGGGGGATCGGATCGAAAGGTCTGCGCTTCCCAAAGACATCGAAACACGCGTTTCGATCGGTCGCTTTCGACAAACGGAGCGTTTGTCGGCGACGTCAAATGACGCGAGCCGGTTCTTTGTCGCCGATTTCGCTCGCGATCGCGATCGTCGCGGAACGCTTCGCGTTCTTTTCGTCGCCGTTCGCCACGCGCGCGTGCATGTGTACAATGACAGGGGACACAACGCGAGAGAGAGAGAGAGAGAGACAACGCGTCCTCCTTGTCGAATCAGTTTGCGCGGTCGGTCCACTGTTTGCCGAAATGATCAAGCGGTGAAAGCACGGCCGGTTTCTGGCTGTCGGATCAAGCTCTCGACCGAACGCTGAAAGGTAGCGTGTTAATTAAGTACAACAGCACTGAAGCGGCTGTTTCCAGTGTAAACCCTGACGAACAAAGGATGAACCGGCACGGAAGAGAGATGAGAGAGGAGAAGAAGAGAGAGAGAGACAAAGACAGAGAGAGGGAGAGAGAGAAAGAGAGCATTCTCGGGCATGAAGAGGGTCACCGACCGTCCCTGGACTTCGTCGCGCGTTCAGGGTATGCGCAAAT